TCATCCTCATGGTGACAATTAAATCAAAGAACAACCTCTTCTTTATGATATTTCAAAGTATCATGAGTTTTGCTTGGATACATAAAAAGCTAGAGCACTTTTAGTGGCTCTATTTCGTATTCCGCCATATTAACTCCTATAAAATTTCCTCTGGTTTGGTTGCTTTCAACATGGCGGCCACACCGGAAGTCGGCCCACATTCTGGCACACTTTTTACCCTTGAGTGAACCTTCTGCCCTTATCTCTTCTGTGACTATACTTCTAAAAAGTGATTTTGTTTCATAATGGCAAGGATATACAACTTAATCTGATAACTCATTATGCATATTTGTGACGTAGAAAACATGACACGTATATCAAACTAACTGAAATATCTCGAAAACGAAGCAACAGAACGAAAAACTGCAAAAGAAGTTACTCTATAGTTTTTATAGTTCTTTTAAAGAAGACAATAAAAATTTTCGTTTCAAAGGCACTTTAAGTATATATTGGGCTTGCTGTATATAATTATTGTATACTTATTGTAAAACGAGAAAATTGACGTTGTGTACATTGTTCTATATTGTAACGATATTCATGTATGTATAAATCCACAAATTATCAATATGAACTAATTTATTTTCCTTGTGCCATTTTCAGTATTTGTGTTGGTGATCTATTAGCTATATTAATGCTAAGGTTTTAAATATTCCTATAGCATTCATATAAAACGCCTGTAGCATTAGCCTGCATGCAGACTATATAATGACATACATATACATATATATATATATGTCATTATATAGTCTGCGTGCAGGCTACTGTAGCATTCCTATAATATCGGAAAAGATTTCTAAAGGAATATTCTAGAATTTAATATGATTTTGTATAGGAATTCTTTTCAATTCCTATACTCTGGTTTCTATAGAATTTCTATAGGTTTTTGATAGGATACCTATAGGGTCCCTATAGGTTGCTATAGAAATCCTATAGGCTGACCTATAGCATTCTCTATAGGTTGCCTATAGAAAATGTTCCAATTTCCTATAAAAACCTATAGGTTTCCTATAGATTTTCTATAGGTTTCTATAGGCTGCCTATAGACTTTTTTGTAAGATGATATTGATTGAGCCTGCATCTTCATCAGTGCAAATAATTGAATGTAATTGATGTATTATTAATTAATGATTCTCCATATTTAATAAGCACTCAGATTAAGTAACAGGATTACTGATCAAAAGCTTTGCCAAATAAATATTTGTGATAAGTGGTGTTTCCATGAAAAACATAACTTTAGGATATCTTTAATTTTTAATCTCAATAACTGGATGTGTCGTTATTGAGAATCTCGCTATACAAAAAATAATGGCCGAAACTTCGAGTGATTGCAGCCGAAAGAAAGCAAAATGATTCTTTAGATGGTTCTTCTCTTCTTTGCGTAAATTTGACGGTGCTGCGCGATTCATGTCAAAATTTCAGCCATCCTGGTAAAAAAAGTGGCCTTGTATTATTGCTGTTTTTCGTTCACCAACTGAGTTCAGGTGTACGGTGTGCAATAACGTTTGCAGCTGTGCTCATCAAGGGGAATCTGATGTGACAAGACATCCAGGATGAAAAGCACCAGAAAAAATGTACGAGCTGGGACCAATGCAGCGAGGTTAAGTTCATTTGGGTTTATTTCTACCACGGATCCACTGAAAGATAAGGTAAGACATTAACATACTGTTGTAGTGATGGTTATCTATATCAGTGTATAGTTGTTTAATACAATTTGTTTTACTTCTAGTGAAATAATTAATAGTATTTTTCTAAAAGCCTATTTTGGCCTTTCTATTCCATTTTTAGGTCACAACTGCAGAAATTAAAGTTGCTACACTCTTAGTTGAAAACAACATCCCTCTGGCATTTGCTGATAAGCTTAGTCCAATGTTTAAATAGATATTTCCCGACAGCAACATAGCTAAGAACTACCACAGTGCAAGAATGAAGACAACGTGCATATTGAATGGGGCAATAGCTCCACACATAAAACAGACATTAGTTGAACAGCTGAAATCTGTCAACAGATGGTTCTAATGACAAACACCTCGACAAAATGAATCCAATCATGGTAAAACTTTTTAATATTAACATGTCAAGAGTGGTTACCCGTTTTCTGGACATGGGAGTGACTAAGGGTGTGGATGCTGCTAAGGCTTCTACAATATTTGAAGCAATCAATGAAGTTATGACCAACAACAGTATACCCTGGAAAAACTGCATTTAGCCTTCTTTGTTGATAATACCAGTGCAAATCTTGGTCAGTTTAATTCTATTAAGACACAGGTACTTGAACGTAATCCTAACTGTTATTTTCTTGGATGTTCATGCCACATTCTTCATAATACCGTTGGCAAGGCCTCTTCACAAATGAAGGAAGTTTCTGGTAAAATTCCACGTTTTGCTAGGCTTCAAAAGCATTTTGAAAACCCGATGACTGAGATTTACTTGATGTTCTTTCAAGCTGTTACTCCCACCTTTACTACCATCAACAAATTCTTGCAGAGAGGAGAGCCAGTTATTCATCTGCTTTTGGATCAACTTGAGTCATTCTTTAAGAAATTGGCAGGCAAATTCATTGGTATTGATCCCATTGCAGCTGCATATAAAGTGTGTGAAATAGATTTCTCAGATGATGCAATTACAAAGGAAGAAAACAAATGTTTGTCGGAATTGCAACATGGGGAAAGATGGAGATGCTCAATGATGGAGATTTAAATCCTCAACAGGTACAATTACAGTAATACTGCAGAATAATCTATTGATAGTTCAGTTCAGGCAGATTATTATTAGTCCACTTATAGAGCATATCATTCAGTGTTTCATTCATTCAGCCACTTTTAATCAATTTTTTACATGTAGGTGCAAAGATTCTATGGTGCAGGTGGTGCGTTTTACAGAGTTGCTGCACAGTATGCTGTGGCAAAACTTCCATTTAATGACAAAGTTCTGGAAAACTCTTGTTTTGTTCATTTTGAGAAACGCAGAGAGCATGAATTCACAATAGTCAAGTTCTTTCTACAACGATTCCCAGATCATCTAGAAATGAGTGTTGAAGAGCAAGAAAACTGCAAACTGCAAGAACTGTTCATAGACTATCAACTTTTGTCAAATGATAACATCCCCAACATGTCTGGAATGATGCGACTGTAAAAACGGATGAAGATGGAACGGCAGGACTATTTCGAATGGATGTCATTTGGGTCCATTTGAACACAACCAAGTCTGCTGATGGTAGACCTCGATTTGATAGTACGAGTTGCTTTAACTGTGCTGTGCCTTCCTCACTCAAATGCAGAAGAAGAGCAAGTTTTTAGCATGATTGGAAAGAACAAACGGGCAGAGCGTTCAAGCCTTCAGGTTAAGGGAATACTTTAATCGATAATGACAGTGAAGCTTGCAGATTTGAATGCTAAGACTTTCACACCTCCAGTGTCCATCTTAAAAGCAGCTAAATCTGCTACTTATGAATACAACAATGCACACAAGCGCAAGCTATAACTCATTAACATTTAAAATTTCTTTTACTTTTTAAACAATATTAATGAAATAAAAAAATAAATGAAACTTATAATTGCATGCAGATATCCAAAAAGTGTTACTTTTGAGATTTTTAACGACATATTTGTACCTTTAGAATTCTGTTAATCTTCTCCCCAAAATGCAGGAAATGGCATTTCAGAGACACCAAATTTAAAACTTTTTCGGGGGGCTTGCCCCCTAGGTCAATACCTGTGTCAGCCCGCCCTCGGCAGGCTAGATCACTCAGATTAAAGGGAAAAAATAAATCTCACTCATTTTCATGCCACAAAGTTGGAAGGCTGATACTGAGGAAAAGGAAGGGGTAGGGTTAGGAATATTTTAAGTTTATCAAAAAAATCATTTTAAAGTGTTAAACAATATAAATATTCTAATAGTTTTGTTTGTGGAAACACCACGTAAATTTATTACTGCAAAGCTTTCAATCCCCATAAGCCTGGATCTTCATCAGTGCTAATAATATGTAACTTGTTTAATTCACATGCCCTTTTTATATACAAACATGTAGTGATCTGTTGGCTCGCGTCTTTTGAAATTTAATTAAATGGCACATCAACCACATAATTTCAAACCGTCTGAAACTGCCGGCCATTTAGTAATTTGATTAACTGTGCCCCAGCTGCCGGTCATATAGTCACTTTGTTATTTTATTCTAAATTAAAACATTTAAACTTACCAACTGATTCCAATTCTGTTTGAAAATCAAGCTGTGCTCCTTGTGCTGTGCCTGGAGTCCGGACAATGTGGCTCAACTTATTCATGTCATCTTTGCACTTCTTTATTAGGTATGATCTTGGTAACCCTTCACATAACATTATCAACTCATGATATGCAGCATCTCCAATACAAAATTTGTCCAAAATAAAAAGGATATTTTTCACTTTTTGCTTATCTTCCTCCAACAGTTCCTTGTGTGCTCGTTTCTCCTTAGGTTTGTATGAGAAGGTGTGCTGTGTTCCTTTTTCATCAACAAAGCTGACATCTTGGATGTCTAACCCAAACGTTTTTGAAAACCATAATGCTCTCTCGGTTGTAGGTCTTCAATTCTGACAGTTTTCGTCGTTGCTGCCATTCAGATACCTCTGAGATAATTTTCCCACCATTTTAGAAATTGAGATTTTGGCCAGGTTTTTCAACGTAGTCCTTAAGACATTTGTTTTCACAGGCTAATTCCTCAACTTCCCTTTGAGCCTTGCTAAGTTCCTCAGTTTTGGTGTGATTAACTCCTTTTCACTACATCCCAGTGTCATCGTTCAGCACTGAACGATTGGCAAGAAATTTAATATCTTCGGTTCAGTGCATGCTATGAAGACAGAAACACCACCATTTGATTCAGAAATAAAAGATTCAACTAGTTCCTCCGTATAGTTATAGTCATTATCAACATTGTAGTGATTTATGGGCCTTTGAAAGTCAAACACGATCGTATTGTATCAAATTACGCAATTGTCTGAACAAAAATATAGACTGACTAGCCGTACCTTTTGCTGAAAATAACTTCGGCCCCTTCGAACATATCGTCTTTGTAATAGTCTTGTTCGAATCCCCCATCAAAAACACTATTTAGAGTGTTATTTGCAAGCCTGTATCTTCAAATATGTATCTTTTATCAATATATTTCCATTTCTTGTCTGACTGTGAGTTCGAAGTGAGTTAATCCCAACCGGAAATACGACTGAAAACCGTCAAAAACAATGCGACGTTTGTATCGTATGACCTTGCGAATGTCAGAAATGAATTCTACAGATCAAATTGCACCTATACACATGAGTTTGACGTCATCCCGGCCACAGGAGCTTCTTATGGGCCAATTATTGTGCAATGTACGCGAGTGTCAGTAAAACCCGACATCTTGAAAAATTCAAAATAAATATTTCTACTTGCCATATTCAAACGAAATTTTGTACACGAAAGCGCTTGAATACAAAGAGTATTTACACATATAGCCGTTTAGACAATGACGACAAGTTCAAGAGATATTCAAGATTTTCTGGATGTGAACTTTAGAATCTTTGGCCAAGCGGTGAGTAAATATATGACTGTTTCAGTTTGTGTAATGTTTTGACAGCACTTGACCCCCCCGTTCAAAAGGTTATTTTTTGAGGATTTCAATGGTGCCTTTTATTTGAAAGGGGGGTAAATACTCGCCGAGATATTTATATTAGAAAAATTGTGTCATAATGTAATGCGAAACCGGTAGGTTGAAAAAGAGTTAACCACTGCTGCTTCAGATAAAGACTTGTTGAGTTTTTGGTTGGTCTTTTCAATACTCTCGCACCTTTCTTTTTCGGTAGCCAAGGTAGACTCCACTTCACCAACAGTCATCAACTCGTTGAACTTCAGGGCCAGATGTAGGTCTTGCTGAGAAAGTTTTCGGTAGGCTGCCCCACTTTTCCCAACAAATTTCCGCTTTATTTCGCTACACTCTTTCTCCGATCACTTCTCCACACGCTGACAGTTCTGTTTTACTCTGTAGCCGCAATTTGCGTACAGGAAGGTATTCAACATTTGTATGTAGCTACATGATGTACCACTATGCAAAAGTGAAGCTTTCTTCCTGACATCACCCACTTTCGTAGACTCTCACACTGCAAGTGCACAGTGAGAACTATCTCTGAGACACATTGCTTATTGGCATGCATTAAACAATGGTTTGTATCAATACAAACACGGTCTTTAAACTTTTTCCAGCTGATAATGTCTCAAAGGTACGGTGGCCCAGAAGTGCAACACCGAATATTAATGAAACAGCAAATTCAAATTACAAACATCAAATTCAAATTCGTCACATCAAATTTAAATTCATCACATCAAATTCAAATTCATCACATCAAATTCAAATTCATCACATCAAATTTAAATTCATCACATCAAATTCAAATTCATCACATCAAATTCAAATTCATCACATCAAATTATCACATCAAATTCAAATTCGTCACATCAAATGCATGGTCAGCGGTATTTCATAGAACTACTTTGCTACTTCATATAATAACCAATTTGCGGTAATAACTGTTAAAACATGGCGAATTGTGATACTTGTGAACGAGAAGTTGCACTCGATGATAACTTTTGTTGCTCATGTGGCACCGAACTTTGTCATGAGACGATTGCTATAAAATATTATTTTAAATTATGTCTGGTTATCGCTCCATGTGGCATACTCTTCAACAGGAAGGATATATGGTACCTAGACAAACGGTTGAAGATTTATTGAAGGAATTAGATCCGGAAGGTTGCAGAATAAGACGGGCCAAACGGCTGAGAAGAAGGGTTTATGTAAACCCAGAGCCAAATTATTGTTGGCATTTGCACGGCTATGACAAACTTAAACCATATGGGTTTCCCATTCATGGGTGTATTGATGGTTTTAGCCGCAAGATGCTATGGTTGCAGTTATCAAGATCAAACAACAACCCGTAAGTTATATTAAGATTCTTTCTGAATGCTGTGGATGCATGTGGTGGATGCCCCAGAAAATTGAGATCTGATTGTGGCTGCAGCTGCACAGTGCTATTTTACAAATAATGAACAAGCCCATATATATGGTACATCTCCACATAATCAGAGAATTGAAGGGTGGTGGTCATATTTCAGGAGGAGCAGAGCCAATTGGTAGATACATTTTTTTAAAGACTTGATGGAACGAGAAGTTTTTACCACAGGAAATGATCTTGAAATGGAATGTCTGTGGTTTTGTTTTTCGAATCTAATCCAGCAGGACTTGGACCTTGTTAAACACCATTGGAATACACATTATATCCGAAGATCAAGGCATGACACAGTTCCTGGGAGACCCGATTAACTATTTCATCTGCCCGAAATGCACAACACACAAGATTTCTTAGAAGTTGTCAATGAGGAACAATGCCAACAAGTTTTAGAAAATTATGCAGATACCTAGGAAGATGAAAACGAACATAAAGCTTACTTCGACTATGTAATGGATCGATGTGGTCTAAGCCACCCTCAGGATTGGAGAGAAGGTTTAGCATTATACCATCGTCTAAAAAATTATGCAAACGGTCTTTAAATGAATCATTAAAGGGGAACTTCTGTCAAACTAAAAAGTGATGTTTAAACAAATTTGTATGGTTATATTTAGATGTACGAGACACTCCCCTGGATGTGTCACGGTATTGTTCTTGCCATCGAGCTTTGTTTTGATACCACATGTTCTCTCAGCTTGCAAATGAGGCTTGCTGGCTGAAACAGTAGCGACATAAACTTGCATAAACCCCATAGCAGGATTGAACTAGTGAAGAGTACTGCACTGCATGCATGTATTTCTAGTAATATAGTAGAGTGTGTTGCAGTTCAAAAAACTTTAGAGTTTGAAGGACAATTTAATGAATTTTAATTGTTAACTTGGCTATAACTGATAGTCTGTGTAAAATTATATAAACAGCCATACTTGGACCTACAAGCCAAGCAGACTTTCACAAATGATAAGTTTGATCAAAAAGAGGAATATTTTGATGTGAAAAATTTCCCGTCAATTTAGGATTATAACCTTTTTGACCTGTAGGTATTTACTCCCGTACGAGTTACAAGTACAGAAAGTGTAGAAACCCTTAATTGAAAAATATTATTTTAGTTCCCAATACTAAAAATAGTGACTAGAACACACTGGTAAGCTTCCATGGATGACTTTAATTTTTTTTCATCCTGCTTTTTCTCTAACGAACTTATTACTTCCAGTCCAAATTTAAGTCGTGCCTTGTAAATAGTCGTACTGTATTAAATTGTCAGTATTTGTTGCTCCGAGGATGTCTTAAGTTAAAGATAAAATGTTTATAGCTATTGAATAAATTTTTTTAAAATTAATGTAATTTTGACGGCTCTTTTTCAAACACTATGCAAAGCATGATGTTTACAGTAAAATTCCTCCTCGGATCATGCCTTTCAACCATATTTACTTAATGGCGTACGTAATATAATTATCAAAACATTTAACGCATCTGTTAACAAAGATCTCAATTGTTCAAACTTGAATCAAACGTTTGTTGCAAACGTCTAGTTATATGCTTTTTTTCTTTGTTCTGTACATTTACTTTTTAGCACAATGTCAACGAGTGTTGAAAGCCAACAGCTATGCTTTGTGCCTATTATAGAACCTGCAATTACAACTAGATTTTCCACTGAATTCATCAGTATATAACAACGAAATATAACAAACGTCAAATGCTTCTTTCCCGAAATATGAATATTGGAACATATACATTAAGCAGTATATATAGAATGTAAAAAGCATCTACGGTCAATAGTTTAGGTTTACGCTTGAGCGAGCTCCGCTTAAATATAAAAATTTTCAGTTAATTTCTCAGCTATTATATTAAGTTTTATATTTAATTAAAGCTAAGGATTTCGTGCATCCTCTCACCGTATTTTGGAATTGGATTTGTATCGTGGTTTCAAGTTGGTTTGGTTTGGTTTGATGGATCGTATTATTGTAGTACTACAACGGAAAATTTTGGTTAATGAACAATATCTTTGTCGTCGTTTGCCCCCTTCGTCCGAATCTTGCTGTGTGATCTACTAATCGTTTTGCGGCTATTCCGTACAATTTTGGTGTCATCTAAATGTTCTGTTCATGAATTATTCAAATTTATTTTTTTCTGACCGTTGGAACCTTGAAATTTAAATCCTGTCTGGCGTCGCTCTCCATGGCAACAACTGTCTTATGTAATGGAGTTTAATTAAATCAAATGAATCCACCTTCAATAAAATGCTCAATAAAGTTTTTGGGTATCTCCCTTTTCTCATTTTAACTTTTTGGTTATCAATAAGATCAAAACCATCAGTAATTCAACTCAACGATAGAACATTTCCCCAGACTATCTGTAGCATTTCTTCAGAGCTACTGTTGTGTTGTCTTTGGTCTTCCACGGGCGATAATACTTTACGTAAGTCTACTTTCCCTCTCATGTCTAACCACAGATATGGCCTTCAACTTAACATTGCGAATAGTAATTTGCACCTTCTCTTGTGTATTATACTCGCTGGTGATATCACCACAAACCCTGGTCCTGTTCAATCTCGTAGAACGCCGGATAACAACTGCCTAGAAGTGCTTTACTTGAACGCCTGAAGTGTGAAGTCGTTCGTCTCTACCGACAACATCCCTGCAAGAAAAGTTTGTAAAATAACTTTACTTCAAGATTTAGTCTACGGGAGCAATTGCGAAGTCATCTGTATCTGCGAGACATGGCTGAACAATACGATCATTGACTCGGAACTTCTCCCAGGCTTCAACATATTCCGCCAAGATAGAATCGGTAAGATCGGTGGTGGTGTGCTTATCGCTGTAAAAGAAGGCTTGCAAGTTACTCGGCGCAGTGACCTCGAAAGAGATGGTGTTGAGTTATTAGTTGTTCAACTCAACAAAGCGAACATTAAACCAGTAATTCTTTATGTGTACTATCGTCCTCCTAGTTCCTCTTCAGATGGTCTTAGTCTTTTGAACAACTTGTTGCTTAGTAACCCAGAATCAAGCTGTATTGTGTTAGTTGGTGATTTCAATATCCCTTCAATCTCCTGGTCAGACAATGATTCAACTCCAGTTAGTTCAGGTGGTTGTGCGAACAGCGAAGTCCTTTGTGAACTTATCGGAGACAATTTTTTGCAACAATTCGTTGAGGGTCCAACTCACGCCGCGGGTAACAAGCTTGATTTGCTCTTTTGCAATCGTGCCGAGGTAATATCAAATGTACTAACATCTCCCTCCGATGAACATAACTTCCCTACCGATCACTACATCATTGAATTCAATATTTGTACCAAGTTCACAAGATCAAAACCTGTGCGATGCGTGATATACAACTACAACCACGCTGACTTCCCTGCACTAGGTAGAGCCTTGTCAGAGACATCCTTAGACATTACTCTAACGGGCAGTATCGATGATATTGGTTGCAGTGGAAAGACAAATTTTTGTCTATCATGACCAGTTTTGTTCCTATGAAAACTATACAGGACACCTACTCCCCTCCCTGGATCGATGGTGAAGTTCGCCACCTTATACGTAAGAAATACACTGCGTTGAGGAAATACCGAAAGAACAAAACAGCGGACCGTAAAATCAAATTGCGTACTTTGTGTCAGCAAATCAAATACGCAATTAGAGCTAAACATAAATTGTATCTCGCGAAAATTGAAGCATCACTCAATGAGAACCCGAAGATGTTCTGGAAATACCATAAAGCCATTCTTCACCACCATACTTCTCTCAATCCTACCATAACCTTAAACAACCACACAGCAAAGTCACCAAAAGAAAAAGCAGAACTATTTAACACCTATTTCTGTTCCATCTTCCGTCCTGCTAAGACCACCATGAACCCTGACAATTCCACCTCCTTTTTGATTTCCTCTTCCCAACTGTCCGACATTACCATCTCAGAAGAAGAAGTTGCTAAACACCTATACCACCTGGATCCATCTAAAGCTACTGGTCCTGATGGTATTCCCGGCCGGATTCTGAAAGAATGCAGCGCTATTATTGCTCCAAGCCTTTGCTCACTTTTCAACCACTCCCTTTGCACTGGATCTCTTCCTTCGGAATGGAAATCCGATAATGTCACACCCGTTCATAAGAAAGAGAAAAAGGAACCTGCCACAAACTACCGACCAATATCCCTACTATCCATTATTAGCAAAGTCTTGGGGCGATGCGTTTGTATTCGATTCTGTGATCATGTTCGGGTCATGATAAATGACGCTCAGCACGGATTCCTTCATGGTCGCTCGTGTGTCACCCAACTTCTGACAACTCTTCATCGAATCGGACAACTACTCGATAATAATATCCAGACGGACGTTATCTTCCTTGATTTCGCAAAGGCCTTCGATTCGGTTGATCATAACATTCCCCTAATGAAACTTAGAATGTATGGAATATCTGGAAACCTTTACGACTGGTTCAGTAGCTACCTATGTGGGTGCACACAGCGTGTTGTTGTCGAAGGCGTAGCTTCGGAATGGTCCCCAGTAACCTCTGGCGTCCCACAAGGAAGCATTCTAGGTCCCATGCTTTTCCTTCTCTTCATTAATGATCTCCCTGACGCAATCCCTCAAGCAACATCAACAGGATTGTACGCTGACAACGCGAAGCTATACAGGGCTATAACGTCTAACGAGGATAGTGCTTGCCTGCAGACCGCCTTGTCGTGCGCAGGAGTTTGGAGCGTTGATTCAAACATCACTTTCAACACCTCTAAGTGCGAAATAATGACAATCTCCCGCCGTAGAAGGCAGCTCATCACCAATTACCATCTTGGTTCTGCTGATTTGAAATGCGTGGACAGTGAAGTTGATCTCGGGATCACCTTGACAAGTAACCTCTGTTGGAACACGCATATATCGCGGATTGTTAGCAAGGCCAATGTAATGCTGGGTCTACTACGAAGAACATGTCCCTTCCTAACAGTTTGCAATGTTCGGCGCACATTGTATCTTTCCCTGGTAAAATCCCAGCTATGTTACGCCGCAGAAGTCTGGTCACCATCGCAGTATAACAACAACAACGCTGTTGGAGAGAGTGCAAAGGCGCGCCACAAGATGGATCCTCCAAACGTGGGACATCACATATAGGAATCGATTGCAGATGTTAAATCTTCTCCCGTTGACATTCGACAGAGAAATCAAGGATTTGACATTTTTCTTTAAGTTGCTAAATGGATTTTACGATTTAAATATTTCTAATTTTGTGTCGTTTGTCAGTCATAATCGTACTCGTAACTGTGAAAATCCTTCTCTCGTTCTTAAAGTTCCGTCGTGTAAAACAAGTGCTTTCCAGTCGTCCTTCTTTAACCGTATTGTCCCTCTCTGGAATTGTGTGTGTAAAATAGCTTGTCCTGCAGACCTTTGCAGTCTAACTGTTTAAATTTTTTTGTCAAGAACATACGTACAGTTATTAGAAAATAGTTACAATGTAGATATGCCATGTACCTGGTCTTTATGTCGTAGTTGTTCGTGTCATAGGTCTTAATATAACTTATCTAATAGTTTCTAAAGTAAACATATGCTTGTTGCTTGAGTATTTCTGTAATTGTTTTCTGATATTCTAGGTATAACGCAGTATTGGCTGGGTTTTTTATTGTATTGTAATCACTTTATTTAAACCAACCACATTTTAATATGTTTGAGCTTCAAACAATTGGCATGTGTTTATTTTAGTTGTAGTCATCGTAACAATAATTTTTTTGTAATTTAATCAATTTGTAAAAAGGTAGAGTGCCTCGCATGGGACTTCGAGTCCCGTTTGCACTTGTGCCGTTTGGTATGTCTTGTTTTACTGTCCAATAAAGTTTACAATATATCTGTTTCAATGTCTTGAAGTAGAAATTGTAGCAAGTACATATGCTCTGGCTCATAAAGGTTTAAGGAGTTGCAAAAGCACCACCATTGCAAAATGCAATCAGGAAAACATCTTGGAACTGCTTGCTCTCCCTCATGTGAGCAACTGGCAATGTTACAACTTTGCCACAGGCTCCAACGGTGGGAAAACAAATTGTATGGTGAGGGTTGCATGCCAAACAATCATGATCTAATTTTACAATAATGTTCATTGTATCACCATTCAATGATACATGCCGTTGTCCTGTGAGCCAACCAAGGACTCCTGCAGGGGTGAGATTTGCCATTTGAAACTGTGAATTCTCTCCTAATTCTTCTGCACCATCAGACACTTGCTCAGTTGGGTTTCCATCATTCCATGCTATAGCTTCACTATATGCACAAATCGACTTGTCTTCAAGTGTGTTAAAAAAATCTTGAAAATTATCCATAATGGAATTTTCAAAAATTCTTTTTGATGTGCCATCATCTGAATACTCGGGACTCAACAACGAAAACACGTAATTTGCATCGACTTTCTGGCATTCAATTCCTATCACGAACAATTGTTTGGCAATTTCTGCATTAGCTTTTACAGTTTCCAAAACACCATTTAGCTTTAAACCTTCAACAAACTCATTCAAGTAAAGTAATCGTCTGCCAATAATGCTTACCATAATTGTCCTGACAATGTCATCTTTGTGAGAATCGTCAATAATACCTGTGTACCCATTTTCCAGGATGAAATTTTTGTGTGAATTAACATCTTTCTTGATGTTCTCAAGCTGCTCCTGATCATTAGCAGTAAGATGTTTCTCCGTATTTAAACTAGTCATGTCGATTTCTGGTTTGACAATCATGTTGTATGTACTCTCATCCAAGAAACATGGGGCTGGTCCACCTTGAACAATGGACGTTGCTGCTATTTCGCCGCAAGATCGAATATTGCCATTTTGGATGTTATGTGCTGAATCAACTGGTGCACCATTAGGAAACATAGCAGGCCCCATTTGTACAACCATATCGGATAAAAATTCTTTTGCCATTGCTCCTGAGTCGATCCCACATTCACCCATATATTTGACACAAAGAAGCTTCTGTGGAGAAGTTGTCTTACACGCTCGTTGCCACAGTGATAATGACCTTCGAAATGCTGCACCTCGTCGTACCACAAGAAAAAATTGCCCTGTTTTGTCCACTTTGTTTTCCATTTGCTTTACCAAACTGGGAAGACTGAGATTTGAACATTGAGACGGCTCACTAGTACTCTTCTCAATTTCATCTCCAATCTCGATTGTTGGCACGTCGAATTCGGATTGCATCTCTCTGGCTAGGGCCTCGTCGCTGTTGATTTGAGCTTCCACATCTAATTGTGTGTTATTAGTACCAGCAGTATTCTCTTCCCGACATACTTCAATTTGCATTGGAGAGCGCAGTTGATCGTTTTGATAATTTTCAAACACCCCATCATCGTTGAAGTACGTTTGAACCCGTGATCTCTTGCTCGATGATGAACCACTACTTTCTGCATCCTCTTCAGGTTGACTGAAGTCATCTCTTGTGCATAAGAATAATGTAATCTTGTTGTAGTCCTTTCCAAGCTCTTCTTTATATTTTTTCAAAGTGAAGAATTCTTTATAAGGACCAGGAAGGAACAAAGCTTCTTTTCCGTCTTCTAAAAGAAGAACATAATCTTCCTCTTCATCATAGCAGTCGCTATGAAATGCTTTCCATTTGTCGACAGCCTGCTGAAGAATATCAGCATAAGGTGCTACATTTGAGACAGTCAGTACTACTTTTTTTCCACGTTTTGGCTTCAGCTTCATGTCCTTTAAATTCCACTCAAACAGACCAATTTGTATCTGCACATTTCCTTCTGGATTCTTCCCTTTCTTCCCACATGTTTTGGATACTAAAGATTTCCATTGTTTCCCTTTAGATTTATGGAATTCACTAAATGATTTTACTTTTTTCTTATCATGTGGTGCTTCCCTTGGTACATAATCTGCAAGAAAAGGTACCAAGTTGTATTATTTTATAACTAAGTACTACAACAGCAAAACATTATGTCAGAAAGTATGTAATAGGGTATCATTCTCTATTTGTTGGGTACACGTATTGTAGATGTAAATTGTCGAGTGGAAATTTATATCCATTAATAAGACGTAACCAGGAACAGCTGTGAAAAATACAACTTTAGGTCGCTGGCAGGAATCGAACCTGCGGCCCTGCGATTTCGGTGCAACGCTCTATCCAACTGATCTACAGAGGCCAGTTGTCGAAGCTATAACCACAATTACATGTACTAGGGTACTACCATATATAAGTTATGAGTAAATAACAAGATTTTGTTGGCATCTCACTTGAATGAATAGTATTTGATGGGTATTGTAGATCGAAATTGTCGACACCTGGCCTCTGTAGCTCAGTTGGTTAGAGCACTGCCAGAGACCTAAAGTTGCAGCTGTTCCTGGTTAGTCCTAATAAATGTATATAAATTTACACTCATATAAATTTCCACTTGACAATTTCCATCCACAATTCCCATCGACAAATATTATTCATTCGAGTGAGATGCCAACAAAATCTTGATATTTATCCATATCTATATTTGTACCTGTTTTTACTGGAAATACATGCGTGCAGTAACCCCTCGCCCATTCAATATTGTGCACAACTAATTTTATTTGCCACTAATATTTAGAACTCACTCATTATCCAAGTGTAGCTAAATACCCAAGGAAAGCTAGTACCTTCGCCCCAGGCCTATGCCCGGAATGACACAGAGTACTATTGGCTTGGGATTTATTATAAGTTGCGGGATTACTATGAATTGTGGATTTACTTGGGATTTAGGATGAGTACTTGGACAAATGTTAATTAGCATAATGGTTAATGATCTCAACGTTGAAGACGAGTCTAGAAATTTGTTGATGTTCGCAGATGAGATAGCACTTAGTGTTCTGTCATGGTAAATATTTATGACCCTTGTGAGAGAGAAGTGAAGAAAAATCAGCGAAGGCAAGAAGAAAATTGTATGTTCCTGAATTTTAAGAAGACATGGGAAACGGTTGTGAAATGAAAAACAAACAAAACACTTCCACCATCAATTAAAACAAGTGAACTCAAAATACTTGGCATGTCTCTAAATGAGAATCTGTGCAATTGGGATACAAATAAATCAACTTCTTTATACTTGCACAAGCTAGCCCATGAGTGCATATTCCATTCATTCATATGTATTCAATACCTATGAATGAATGGAATATGCAAATATGGTACTATGGAAACGTGATATTCAAATGCTCTGACTTGCAACTTTTTTTCAATATGGTACTATGGAAACGTGAATTTCGAATGCTCTGACTTGCAATTTTTATTGCACTAGTATGGAAACAAGGTTTAAGAAAGGAATGTTGTGATACACACCTCTAACTTGTGAACTACAACTTGCTTCTGATGCCTGTTGTGCTTCTGTCAGTTCTGATCCCTGATGTGGTTTTGATATTGGCTGAGCTAGGAAAAACGTACTTTTATTAGTTAATATTAGCAGTTATTTAGTATAAACAAAGTAATAATACAAAAGTTAAAAAAAGATTTGTTAATAGACATTTTTTTCATTGTGCACCCTCCCCTAATGTAAAAGAGAGTTGGGTGTGGGGGGAATGCATCTGCTCACAACTAAAGTATATGAAAGTCATAGGAAAATTTCTGCAAGTCTAAAAATAAACTAGACAGCAATCACATATAAATTTCACTATCAGACATCTTTTGGTTCTTGCTAATTCATAAAATCTTTGCATGTTGGACTATATTAATTTTCACCGGTCAGTCATTTGTATCAGAGGGCAAGGGGTATTGGGCTTGTTTGAAAACTACCTGCTTCCACTGGGGCAAGAGCACACCCCTCCCCCTCCTGACAGTTTCTTATTTTCTGTTCACTGCATATGTTTAAACCTGTGTGACTTTTCTTTAAAGAGTGAGTATCATGTGAGTGAACCTTCGCACATTTGCTGTCCCAGAAAATGGCTGCCACTTAATACCAATGTTTGTCCTATTCCTATAATATTATAAGTTTTTCAACATTTTTTTCTGTTCAATAGTTTGTTTATTTTTTCCTTTAGTTTATCTTGAGGCTTAGTCTATTTATGGAGTCCAATAATTCAAGCTACCTCTCCCCCCACAGTTTGCACTGCTACCAAGGTAACAAAACCTGGGTTATGTGGGCGTATTTAATAAAAAGCGTTATTATTTGAACCTGGTCTAATTAATTAAATACCATGCACTAGTAATAATACTACTAATTAAAGTTCATTTCACATTTGTCATTAATTTTGTAACCGTTAACAGATTAAGGATTGTCCGAACACAGTTTAGATATATCGATTAAATCGAGGATTAAACTTTATATAGGCTTGCATACCTGATCAAATACCTTGATATATATAGTCTTTATATGTCTGCACTAGGGGTGCACTGCATTTGGAATTTTCAAATCTGGCCGGAACCGGATTTACCGGATTTGGACAAAAATTCCGGCCGGAATTCCAGCCGGATTTGAGATAAACCGGTAATGGGGAGAATTGGGGATAAATCAGTATTCAAAATGGCAGTTTATGTTTTTTACTATTTTTAGTTATTGTCAGTTTAGATTTTTTATTGTGTTTAAACCTTTTTTAATATCTTTTTGTTAATAACTTAATGTGTTTTTTAAAACGTTTTTTAAAGTGTTTTTTAAACTTTAAAGCTGCCAAATTGATGGTTTATCCCATTCTTGGTGAATTTTTTAAGTTCAAAACAGAAATTTAAATCCAGCCGGATTTTCTCCAAATCCTGTCGGATGCCGGAAAATTCATTAAATCCGGCCGGAATTGAAATCCGGTGCACCCCTAGTCTGCACCTATCAATATTAATCCAGGGGGGGTAAGGGTGCAGCCAATGGGTGGGGATTTAATCGTGAATTCTATCCCCACAGACAGGCATTTGACAAAGATTTTTTGCCCGAATGCAGGCAATTTGCCCTTCAACATAATTCAATAATGCGATTTTAGTACGAAGCCTGGACACTAGAATCGAGAAAACCGGTCAACCGGAAGTCCGGAAACTTTTTATTTTTTAATTCCACATCCGCTTCTGCCTTCTGGCCTTTTGGAATTTGAATACAGTACATAATCTGGTTACGATGCCCAGACACTTTTTGTGGCTCTTTATATTAAATGTTATTAAAATATTTTGCCTCGATCTATCCCCTTAGTGCGTCTGTTTTTAAACATTTGATTATCTGAGAATGCCCCACCAGCGGGCATTTGACCCAATTTTAAAATTTTTTTGTCAAATCCCCACCCATTGCCCGCACCCTTACCCCCCAGGATTAATATTGATAGGTACGGTATATATAAAATCAATTATAAATAGTCAGTTAGAATATATTATAATTTATAGTACAAAAAAAAACTTACCATTTCCACATTTCCCACAAAATCGTGCTTCTTGTGAAACACTCTCTCCACATGATCGACAAAACATTTTTATAGAATTACAATTACATTGAATCACTTGATGCTCGTCAACTCGTGTTCTGTCGTTGTGAAAACCGCCATGATGCGCGAAGTCAGAGTGAGAGGAGCTATCATGAAGTTCATTTGAAAGAAATAATGTACCGCTGACCATACATTTGATGTGATGAATTCATGAATTTTAATTTGATGTGATGAATTTGATGTGATGAATTTGAATTTGATGTGATGAATTTGAATTTGATGTGATGAATTTGAATTTGATGTGATGAATTTGCATTTGATGTGATGAATTTAAATTTGATGTGACGAATTTGATGTGACGAATTTGAATTTGATGTTTCATTAATATTCGGTGTTGCACTTCTGGGCCACCGTACAAAGGTCTATTCCTTCCAACATTTTGATTGAATCAGAATATGAAACACGAGTTGGGGTATGATCGGGTCATGCTCATACTGAATCTGTGTCCAATAGCATCAAGTATCTTTGTGGTCTCTTAGCAACAGAATAAATTAAACATGAGCCAGGCCAGACTCGGACCCGCTCGTGTCGAATCGGTTCGCTCGTGTCAAATCGGTGGCAGCATGGAGGCATTAGCGAGTATTTTGATACAGATTTGAGCGAAATCGGCCAAATATTACATGATTTATGCGAATAATTGTGATTTTGACATCAGTAAGACAGCAACCATGCCGTACTCTTGGGATATTCGTGAATCTCAGAAGTGAAGGGTAAAACTTGCCAATAGGCAATACTCCAATAATATAAGTTTCAAAAAAGACAAAAAAGCTTTTAGTTTCACAGAGTTACATTCTCAAATGTTTAAGGCACTAATAAAATCCAAGTATCATCGGAAATTATTTGAATAAACCACACCACATATATATCATGGAATTTTCTTTGCGGAAGTCAAGAATCAAGATTACAACAGTCAATACGCTTCCCAACACATTCCATAGATTTATTAATCCTATAGTTTATTGTTAGCAAGTGATTACTGTGGCGGCTATTGTTAACACTGCTATTTATAAAATTTGCAAGCGATTGTTTTTATAATATGTTATGTGAATGTAAACTTCCAGACGAACATGACAACATGATTTTATGCCATCTCTATGGGCAATGGTTCCACTTTGGATGTGTAGAATATGACACTAGTCTAAGTACCTCAAATGAGTGGTTATGCCGACTGTGCACACCACCAGCTGCTAAGAAGCCTAAAATGTGTATGTAATTTTGTCTCCTCGTAATAAATAAATAAATCACACAATAAATCTTTTCAACTTGCAATCGTTTTGTTTTTAGATCAAAGATTTACTAGAAAATACATGCATGCAGAAACCCTCGCCTTGCTGACAAAACCATTGTATTTTCCAAACATGAAGTTCTAAAATAGTTGTCATGGTAACACGATAATTTTTTAAGAATATTCTTACAAATGAAAAATCGCCTAAAAATATCACTTTTAATTACAAAATTATTAATTTCCCAACATATATATGTTAAGTATGTTATTATACGTAATATAAGCCTCAATTTAAGGAAAAATTCAACCACAAACAAACGTTTTAAAATGCTCTTTAACTAAACTGCCAATAATTAAATGGCTTTATCGATAAACTTTGAGTTTGCAATAAAATGATTTCAAATTCTCACTTGCAAATAAATTTGCTTTCTTTTTTATTTAAAAAATTCAATATAATAAAAAAGGGAATCAATATTAAAGATACACTGAAATTATATTCTGTCTTGTTTAGTTGTTTCATATACGCAACGGCCGTCGGGTTTTAAAGCAATTATAAAATCAATATTTAAAACAGTCTTACCTTCGTTAACGCCGGCTCCCTTCTTTTAGCCGATTCTTTTGCAGTTTCTTCCTGAGAGAGCTTTTGAAATTTACAAAACATTGCAAAAATGCGAGCAAAAATGAAATATTTGCCATTTCGCTGTCGTGATGCAGTCATTTATGCAAACTTTAAATTGGACCAATCAGTGTCCGCTATTCATGACAGTCCGGCATATTTTTGAGGTCAGTGAGGATGACCACCCACCCAACACCGTTGGTGACCCACGCCCGCGATATTTGATGAACTTTAGACTCTGCTAATGCTTTCATTTCCCCGGGTGTAAATAGCCGGGGGGAATTAGTACCCTCACATGGCGCTTCGCGCCGTCGGCTCGGGGAAAATCTATATGGGGGGCGAAATTCCTAAAGAATTCCTAGGAATATTGCCCCCCATTTTTGGCGAATCTCCTGTGACAACCGTTAAATTAAACAACATTGCTTTAAGTCCATACAACGATAAACGTTTCATTTTAGAAGACAGTGTTAGCGCATTAGCTCATGGACACTATAAAATTAACATATAAGATGTCTAACAAATCTCACATATGGTGGGTATATAAGAATGGTGTTATATATTGTGCTCTAAAATAATCTAATAAAACTTTGTAATATAATGAATTCAAATACACTTTTTCATGCTCTACTTCTATTGTCCTTTATGTTCTATACATTCATGATGGCAGAGGGCGGTTATAGTTGGGTGGAAGGGGTGCCTGAGGATATGGGGTGTATTTAGAGAATTGGTGCATACAAAAGGCCCTCTGGACTATTTTTAACAACTGTTATAAAAAACTGTCATTGCTTATTCCCTCCCCGTAACATGGCTAAACCGGAGATATTCTGTTTTCAACTATTATTTGATTCCTTATGAAATACCATGTTAGTGAATAAAATACTGAACATATGGTAATAACTTGAGAACTAAAGGAGTTAAGATGGAAGTTGTTAAAACGGAATGCAGTGTATGGTGTACGCTCGTTTAAAAACACTATAAGCATGTGTAATTGATATGAAACAAGACGCCTGCTCAGGCGTTCACACTGGCCTTAGCGGTTGGTAAAACAGTAAAATACCATCGCAATATTGTAAAAAATAGGTACGTAGTGCGTACATGTTGCATGCCATCAAAACCATGAAACCTCACGTCTCAGAATACTATACAGAAATCATGGCCATCTCCATTGTTTTCTGTGTACGTGCTATTTGTCATGATTTGTCAGTCGGCAAATACAGTAAACAGAACCAGTTACCCCCTGGCACTGAACAAAGATACACGGAAGGTCGATTAGAGCATAGTCCAAAACATGGTCTGGAAACTCAGTAAACTTCAAAGCGGTTATAGTGAGCTGGGATTTTACGTTGAGCCGTACCTTAAACCATGTATATCCTTTGTTTTAGGTTTATTAATATTTAACTAACATGGTTGAATGACTGAATTGAAACGTCGCTGTTGGATGATTCGTTCATTATACTGAAATACAAGTTCATAATTGACTGTGCACCGTGCACAAAACTGCATAAATGCAAAACAAAAAGATAGAACAAAGACTTTAGCGGTGTTTCCAAACCATGTTTTGAAAGACTGTAATTAGAGTAAACGCTGCCACGTCCCAACCAGTGCGCACCAAAGAG